TGACCCCGACCTCGTTCTTGCAACGGCCATTTGCTTGGGTTCATCACCTGCCGTCACCGTGCGCCACAGTCCCCTTTCCGCTGCCCAAGCCCGGAAGGCCGCACATGTGAACTCCCTGGCCCGGTCCGTGTGCACCCGCAGAACTTGCAACCCAGCCGCTCTGTACCTGCTGTAGCACTCCGCGACTGCTTGAAGAACTACATCCCGATTCCGTGACCGAATCGGAATTGCGAACGTCAGGTTGCGAACCGCGACGTCCTCCAGGTCTTTGATCTTCTCCTTCCACTTTCTCGCTTCCTCTTCCGCCTTTTCTACCTCAACTCGACCCTCCTCCCCCGGGGCTGAACCCCTCTCCTCCTGTTCCACAAAGAGATCCTCTTCCTCCACCGGTAGTTCTTCAGGTCCCCGAGGTAGCTCCTCCTCTTCTGGATGTAGGCCTAAACCCCCTTCTCCTGCTCCTTCTACTTCTTCCTCTTCTCCCAGCATGACCAGTGGTTCTCCAGACGACTTCTTCACCGGCACCGTGAGGACCGTGACCACGGCGCACTTTGCCTTCGCACCGTCTTGGTCCCCACCTTCTCGGGTCGGCCCCAGGATGTCCACCGACATCACAAAGGCATTCGGTGCCCGAATCCTCCGATGTGCGCCTGCCCGGCCCGCTGCCTCCATGCAAACTCTGCAATCTCGCCGATGAGGAACATGCTCGTTCTCCACGTGCATCCTCCACTGTTCATCCCTCGTGGGTCCTCTTGCTGCCTTCACTCGCACCTCCTCCAGCGTTTCCCGATTGACCCGCTGTAGGCTTGCCTTGATCGCCTCCTTTAGCTTTGGTGCCCATGCCGCCCACATCGCCGACTCCTTTATGCGATCCTCCACCGTCCCACTTCGGCCGGTCTGATCCCCAGGTCCCGCAACACCGTGAAGGGCCATGACCTCCACCTGGTTGGTGAGCAGCGTAGTCGGCTTTCTCCGCTCGTGTCCCAATGGCCCTTGATCCAGCTTCGCCACGAGCATCTGGTTCCTTGCCGCAAACTCCTCTGTCTCCGGCCAGGCCCAAAACGTAGCCCACCCAAGTTCCGGCTGCTTGGTGCCCTTTCCGTTCTCCCCCGTTCCCAGCCACTCCTTTGGGTCCCTCGGGTTCTCCTGCACGAACGCCGGAGCCATCCAACCTTTTTCGCTCCTCGCCTCCCGAGCAACCTCGAAGAGCACCATCGGCATCAACCACAACGCCGAATCCTGATGCACCTTCAACTGCTCCTCTGCTGACAGACCGTCGAGTCCGAACCTCCCCCGGCCTACCCTGCTCCGGAGTGGCTCCGGTCCAGGCCTCTGGTATCTGCGCACAGACACTGTTCGACACGGCGGTCCTCCCACTATCCCAGAGATCTTGCCCATGCTGCACAGCTGGAACAAGTAAGCCTTCACCGCCGGGTTGAGGATATCCTGGCCCCGCTCCAGGTCCAAACATAGGACCACCTCCGCTGAGTCCTGCCAGAAGCTCTGATCCTTGCCTGAAAAGAGGTGCAGCACGACATTCTTCGCTGCCTCCACCTTCCTCCTCATTCTTCTATTCCACGGCAGCACCTTGTGGAAGTCCTGCTTGAAAGGCCCCGCTGGATCCATCATCTCCAGCACGCTCCCCAACACTTCCCAAACCGCCTCCGGCACCTCTGTCCACCTGGCCTTCCACTTGGCCATCACTGTCTCCTCCACCTGGGACAACTTGCATATCCTCCTCCGGTTCAGGTTAAAGTTCTCCAGGTCCTCGATCAGCTGCAAAGCCTCTCCTCCTTTGACCATGGGGCAACCGTTCTTCATCTCCACCTTGATGTCGCCCTTTGCCGGATGCTTGACGATGCAGCCCTTGTTGTTCCACGTGATGCCGTATCCCATCTCAACCAGCCCTGCCAGCGGCACGATCGGCTCGACCTTCTCTGGCGACAGCAATGTCCGGGTGTCCTTCTGCTGCCACAACTGAGCCGTCCCTGCCGCCAACTCGACTGTGACCTCCTTTACGCGGTCATCCTGGAGTTCTCCTTCCTCGGCTTGGCGAAGGGTGTGGGTAGCCCCTCCATCCAGCAACCCAAAGAACTCCTCCTCAGCCTTTACCGCCCTGACCCGGATCGCCTTCACCGTCTTCAACAACTTCAGCAACCCCGTCGCCTCGCACAACAGCTCCTGGACATGCTGCCCCTGCTGTCCAGGTGTCTCTGCCTGTGGCTGCTCCTCCACAACCCCCTTCTCCGCCGCAACCTTTGGCTTTTGCTGCTGCGACTGTTGCTGCTGCTGCGGCTGCGACTCTCCACCTTGCTTGGTTCCCGCCCTGCCGGCCGCCTCATGCTTGACCGGACACTCCCCCTTTCAGTTAGCGAACTGCAAATCCAGCACCGATCCGCCTTCCGGTCAATCGCCGACCAGTCATGGCTACAGTTGCAGTTCTTTCCCATCTTGCAACCTCTCCCACCCGCAAAGAACCCGCAGACCTTTTTGTCTCCGTCCTTCCGCGGGGTTTGCGCCTCTGCTTGTCTCATGCTCTTCACCTTTGGGCCCTTCTCTTCTGGCTTAGAGGCGACGATCACCTCCACTTCTGCCTGAATAAACTCCGCCAACTGCACAATGCTTTCCTGCGTTGGGGAGGCATCCACCCCAAGGCTATTCCTCAACAAGCTCAGCCGAAAGTGTACCTGGCTCCCTTCCTTCGCAATGCCGTTGGTCATGCCATCCAGCGCCCTCAAAAGCAGCGACGGGTCCGGCATTGCCAGCTTCAGCTCCGTGGTTCAATGTACCACCTCCTCCACTGTCTAACCGCTGCCAGCACCTCCCCCGGGACCGTGTTGCCATTCACCATCATTCACCTTCGGCTTGAAGACCATACCCGCTGCTGACATCGTCCGCCTCGAAACCACCTCCTGCCTCAAGCTCTGAGGCAACGCCCGAAGCAAAAGCCCGGCCCCTCTCTGCTCCACCCTGGAGAAAGGGTACTTTCCCAGCCATCCCGGCTCTTCCGGTTCAACCTCTCCACCGGCCGCATATCCAGCCACCTCTGATAAGCCTTCTCCGCGTGGTGCATGATGTGTTCCCACCACACTGCCGCGCTCGCGCTAAGGTCCATCATGATCGGTCGGATCTCCGCTAGCCAGTCCCCCGCCAGTGCCCCTAGCTCCGGCAACTTCGGCAGTTCCGCAGCCCTTATCGCTTCTTCCCTAAGCTGTCCTGCTGCCAACATCGCCTTGACGTCTTCCGGCCAAGAGTCCATCACCCCCTTGGTCTCCGCAACGTTCTCGTGCACCTGCTCCGGGGCGACGATGGCCTTGACATCCAAATCCGGGGGCGGCACTGGAACCTGCCGCTCGAGTTCCTCTGTTCTTTCCCACGTCAACGCCCACTCATCTCTGGATCTCATAGCCGGCACCATCTTCAAGCCACCCGTCTCGAAGTCCTTCTCCCAGGTGTACAGCCCTCCTTCCCTTGGTTCTTCTCCCCTGGCATAACCACCTCCCCCTTCCAAGCGAAGAACTCCACCTCCTTTTCCCGAGTCCCGCCCGGAACCGCTGTGCCTCCTGGAGTCCTCCTCCTATTCGGCGTCCTTGGCCTCGGTGGATACGGAGGTGGGTGTGGTGACCTCGTTCGATCCCGGCGTCCACCATCTCCGTGTCTCTCTCCTGTCTCCATCGGCGTGTGAAACTCATTCGCTCCACTCGCCTTCCTGTCTCCTCCACTGAGAGCCGTCCCATTCCCAGCGGTTCCACCAAGACCTCCAAGCTGACACCTCATCCTGCGCTTCTCGAAGCTGGCCTTCCGCCTCTCGGACCTGCCCTAGGAACTGGTTGATCGTGCGGTTTCGCATCTCCAGGAGCCGGTCCTTCTCGGCGATGGTCCTGTTAAGGTGGTCCCTTTCCATCTCCATCCCCCTGATCATGCGGCTAGCCAACAGCAATTGCTTTTCCATGGCCTCCTGCACGTCGAACACTCCTCTCCTCCTCCTTCCCCTGGAATGAGTTCTTCATCATCTTCATACTTCAGGCCTTCTGGCAGGTTGCCCTCCGGAACCCACACCTTCGTTGCTGGGTTCCACGCCATGTGGAGCTCCATTGGTCTGAAACCTGCCCCTGGGGGTATGCCTTCACCCGGCACCGAAGGACGATGCCCACTTCCCTCTCGGCCCCCTTCTCCGCGATCTTGAGAAACCCCCTTTCCACTTCGGGCTCCACCACCTCCATAGATCGGGCGCCTTCCTCGCGGAACCTCACCTTCCTTTCCTTTTTCATGCCGACCCGACCCGGCATGCCCTTTTCCTGGCTCCTGCCCGATCACGATGGGCCTGGCCTCCCTTCCACCAGTCATGAGCTTCTAAAAGATGCCCTCGTCCTTGATCATCTGGGTGCCCTTCATGAGCTTCCGAAGGATGTCCTCGACCTCGCTCATCATGCCACCCTCCATGAGCTCCCGAAGGATGCCCTCGACCATCACGCCACCCTCCATGCGCTTCTGAAGGATGCCCTCGATCTCGTCCATGAGCTTGCGAAGGATGCAGAGCCCGACGACCATCCCTGCTGCTCCCTTGTCCACGGGTTCCCTCCAGGCCGACATCCGCTTCCTTCTCAAGGTCCTCTTGCAGGCTCCTTTTCACTTCTTCGCAATACTCCGACCTCCCGCTACTCACCGTCTCGGGATGTTGCCACTCTCCCTGATCTCCAAGCCCCTTCTCCTCCGACCCTTTGGGCACCCTTGGGAGATCCCTGGGCCTGTGGGCCTGAAGCTCCGCCTCCGCCCTCGCCTTCTCGCTCCAAAACGGGTTCACCTCCACCGGCCTACCCGTTTCCCTCCCTTGTCCTCGCCGTCGGCCACCCCGTCCGCGGCCTCGCCGGTTGTGGTGACCTCCCCCTCCGGCTCAGCCACCAGGATGCCCATGCCGGCGACGTCCACCGATCTCGCCCTTCTTCTCCGCATGCCTGGGTCCATGGCTGGCCTTTGTCAGGGGGCGTTTGGGCTCATAACCTATGTGCGCTGCACCGCGCTGTTTGTTCTTGAGCCACGAATGTGCCCGCAAATTACGGGTTCACAGGGCCAAAATCAAATCCCATTTATTTTCTTTTGGATGGGGTCCTTTTGACATTTTGCATGGGGCCACTTTGGTTCTGCCCAGGTCCAAGGGTGTGCTGCTCTCCCACCACATCGTGCAGGCGCACGCCCTGCACTGCATCTCCGAGCATCGCTTCACCCAGGCGGACGTGTGGCTCCATGTGGCGCCCATGCTGCTAGCTTGGGGAACTGGCAGGGGCAAGTGCCCAGAAACACCTGCGACCCAAGCCAGCCTGGCCCATGCAAAGCAAATGAACTCAGCAAGCTGCCAAGCCACGAGTAGCCTGGTGTGCCCTTTTGTGTTTCAGGCCTCGCCCGAGAGGTTTTTGAAGCTTGGCACTGGCTGGGTGGCTGGATTGGTTGGCCAAAGCTAAGTGGTTAGACGATGCCAATGCATTCTTTGCTTTGCGGCAGCTGTCAGGATGTTTTGAAATGGGATGTGCTGCCTCACCCTTTGACTGTCCACAATCATCCCTGCCCGAAGTAATGCAGGCAGGTGCGGCCTGACGGCTTCATGATTCTTTGTCCCCCGCTCATGAGCCCCAGAAAGTGAACGCCAGCTGACGGCAACTGCAGAGGTTTCACCTGGTGGACGCGTTCGCCATGTTCAGCGTCACCTTGGTCTGTGGGCGTCACGTGCTGCTGCCGGGGGCCTTCGACGCAGAGAAGACGCTGGAGGTCTTGGCCACGAAAAACATCACTGCAACGAACATGGCCACCTCCATGGCGGCCCGCCTACGATGCCGCAGGGTTGCTGGGTAGGGGGGCGGAGGTGGTGCTGGTTGGCAACACGATCAAGCAATGGCATCCCCCCCGCTGAAACCCTGTATGGAGCCAGACTTTCGCTTCCCTTCGCGAAGCAAGTGCGCCTGCTCAATATGTTTTTTTCCCCGAGCCCAAATCTCCCAATACTGATAGGCAATGCTAAACTCAACCAATTTGAGACCAACAAATTTGGTTCCAGTCGTAAAGGGACGAATCCCAAACATGTCTTGAGCGATTCCTTTTGCTAGTAAGTTTTCATTTTGACGCTGTTTGTGCTGACTGAGGGGGGGGGGGGGGGGTTTTGGACGAGGACTGTGCACCCTTTGTACCCGATATCCCGCCCCCAGGTGGATATTTTTCTTAGAGGGTATTCAGTATATGTTGCTAGGGAGAGGCGATCATTGGTATCTCTCAAGGGCTGAAAGGGGTGGTGAGAGGTTGGCAGTGACGCCCACCAAAAGGCCTCTTGATGGACCTTGCCTTCTGGCATTGGCTCGGAGGCTTTGGCGCAGGCCGTTCGACGAACCCATGTCCGTGAGGTGAATCTGCTGCTGGCCGCCCCCGCCAGCCGCTCTTTGGACGGGCGCTTCCCTTGCCTGCGCCTGGTGTCCTGCGGGGGCGCGCCCCTGGGCCACTCGGCGCTGCTGAGGGCGCAGCGCCTATTCGGCTCTGAGTTCTTCCAGTCCTACGGCATGACGGAGTGCTGCGGCCCCTCGCTTCCGAGCCCGCCTGTTTTTCTTTGGCTGTTGGGTGTCACCGATTGTGAGCGCAGATCTGGGGGCCGTCTTTTTATCTGGTTGGAGTTGACGAGTTGGCCTCAGCTTCTGGCTGAGCCGAGGCAAGATCTCCATGTCAATGCTGAGTGGCTCGCAGCGCGGGGCGCCGCTGGGCCGGCAGATGGCGATGCTGTGCTCCTCGGGGAAGCCCTTCGAGGGCTTGGAGGTGCGGGTGGCGGACCCAGAGACCGGCGAGCCGGTGCCCTGGGATGGCCGGACTGTGGGGGAGGCCTGGGGAGCTGAGCTTGGGTGGGGGGCCATGGGGTGAGCGAAAAGAGGCTTTTGCATTCAATAGGTTGGCCATTGCCAGGTGCAGATCAGAGGGCCCACGGTCTTCAAGGGCTACCTCAAGCCAGGCGAGGGCAAGGTGCAGCCGGATCCCGAGCACTTCCTGCCTGAGGGCTGGTTCCGGACTGGGGACCTGGCCACCATGTCGAGCCTGGGCTTCCTGCAGGTCATTGACCGCCTCAAGGAGGGCATGTTTCTTGTTGGGGCGAAGGGGGGGGGCAGGGTTTTTGTTCTTCCTCGTTTTGGTAGAAAGGAGGAGGCAGGGAAAGGCATTGAAATCAACCCAAGGGCCGCAGAATCCTTGGAGGACATGATCCTGGTGGGCTCGGAGAATGTGTACTGCATTGAGGTGGAGAATGCGCTCACGGCGCACCCGGCCGTGGCGCTGTGCTCGGTGTACGGGGTGCCGGGGCCCGAGATGATCGGGGAGTTGGTGAAGGCCGTGGTGCTGCTCAAGCAGGGCGCGCCGCGGCCAAGCCTCGAGGAGTTCCAGCAGTTCTGCGGGAAGTTGTTGGCCGACTTCAAGCTCCCCCGCATCATCGATGTGGTGGAGTCCTTGCCCCTCAACAGCTCAGGCAAGGTCATCAAGTCGGAGTTGAAGAAAAGGGACCGGGAAGCTGCGGCTCCGGAGGAGGCTGGCGAGGGGGATGACGCTGTGAGCGAGCATTGTTATGAGGTTGCTTGGAAAAGCAAGTTCCTGAGCCCTTCAAGCGGCAAGCCGGGCTCTTGTGGGCAGTGGCTGGTGCTCTCAGCTGGCTCTGATGAAGTCCCCGTCTCCCCTGCACTGCTGGGCGCTGTGTCTGAGCACTTTCGCAACTACAGCGCGGGGGGTGCCGTCGGCACATGCTCCTTGGGAGATGTGCCCTGCATCTCGGACTTTGGAGGTTTGGAGGCACCTGCCGGCATTTGCCTGCTGGTTCCAGGGGCCGACGGCGAAGGCGACAAGGTGCGAATGGCTGTGCAGCGGGGCCTTTGTTGCCTCATGGCTGTGGTGCGGGCGGCGGAGGCCAGGCAGATAGGGAGCATCCTGTTGGTCGCGCAGCACTCCAAGGATGCGCCAGTGATCGAAGGCCAGCCCTTGCCCCGAGATCCTGCTGTGGCTGCCTGCTGGGCGTTTGTCAGGGCAGCAGCTGCAGAGTCCAATATCTCGTGGCGCTTGGTGGAACTCTGCGGCCATGCCTCGCCCGGCGATGCGGCA